CACAATAGTCTTTTAGATAATATCTATTATTAATGAATTTGTAATTTTTTATTGCTAACTTAATAACTTAAAGCTAATTCTAAATGCCATGTTCCTTTAGGAAGACCTCAAATAGTGCATAGTCTATTTGTATTATGATGGTTATTCAAGAAGAAAAATCACATCCCTTGTATATGTAAGTAAATCATTGGTAAATAAAACTTTAAGAATATACCAAAAATAGGGTTCCGTTATTCATCCATGCTGCCAAGTTTTAGGGCTATGAAAGACCTTTGATAGGAACGATATAAATGTATATAATTTATTTCAGTATTAAATATGTAAATTACTTGTATTTACCTTTATCTATTCACTATGCTTATATAATTTAGATATTGCAGCAAATTGTTAGAGATAAGGTTAATTAGTTTTTGGATGAGCTTGTTAGAGAAATGGAGAAACATACTAAAAAGTCAGTATCAATTCCAACATTGTGGAGATTGGTTGCATACTGTAACATTACATGAAAAAAGGTTAGTTTATATATGTAATCAAAATTACATACTATTTTTTAGTTCTAATTATTATAAAATAAATAATTTTAATCTCATATATCATTTATCTAATATACATATTTTGATTAGCTTCATAAAAAAGCAAAGAATGTAATGAGATCATTCGAAGTGCCTTTATAGCACACATTGGTATACAATACCGATCTGACCAATTTGTGTTTATAGACGAATCCTCTAAAGATGAATAGTCCATATTACGAGGTTATAGATATTTTCAAATAAACACTTTAGCAAAAAAAAAGGTCATATTCGTATATGAGGTAAGATATACAATTTGCTCAGCTCTAACTTTGCAGAGAATAATAGTCATTGACATTGTCAAGAGCAGTTTTACAAAATCTAGATTTAATGAATTCATTATAAATCAAGTTGTAAGTATAATAATAAATTATTTCTAAACTTATATTGTTGCTATACTACTAATATTTTTTATCTATTTGTAGGTACCCCAAATGAATCCATATTCTCATCCTAATAGTATTTTGGTGTTAGATAATGCATGAATCCATTATGATGATAGATTGTACGAATACGTACATGCTTTTGAAGTACAGGTTGAGTTTCTTCTCCCCTATTCTCCTGATCTCAATCTGATTGAGACAATATTTTCTTGGATCAAAAGATACTTACAATGATATCGTTACTTTGTTGCAAATTCATATGATCCAAAATATCTATTATTGGTTGCATGTGTGCAAATCACATTAGATATAGCAAAAAAATACTTTGGAGATTCTGGATACAAATAATAAGACTTATAGTTTTGGTAATTAGATTACACCAATTAACTAAAATAGATCATGTATATACAAATATAAAAGGGTAAATCTGAATCTAGCCAAAATTAGCTAGTATGAAGGAAGTTCAATTTATCGATTTATGCATTTAGTTAATTTAACAAATATATTCATTGTGTATCTACTAGTAGTGCGAAAGTATAAAAGCACTACTTTTTGCATACAATAAAGACAGTTCAGCAAGTATGTCTAGTTAGAGTTCAATATTGTTTGGATCTATTAATTCTCTCCCAATAAGTAAAATCTGTATTAACAATAGAAATTAGTGACCAGACCCCATGATTTAGTATTAAGAAACTCGTAACATAGTCTAGAGCTCTAATTGACCCCAGTTACTCAGATTAAGTCTTTTCATGCCTCGATTGAAGCCTTACCATTATTAAGGCTTAGTTAAAGTTGTTTAGTTTATATTAGTGTAGTGTTAAAGTATATTCTTACTAGTCTCAGTAAGGATTTATAAAAATAATTAAGTTTAGTTGACAAGTTGTTATAATTTTTTTTATAATTTTTATTTGAATATTTGTAGCTAGATTATATCTTTTTTTTTTTTAGCAGATTTATACTAACTTTGACTAATCTATTTTTTCATATCAATATATGCTATATGATATCGATATAATAATTATGTATATACATCAGAGTAAAAAATACATATTCTTTCTCTGGTCATGCAGTCTATTGTTTCAAGTATCTTGTTTGATAACAGTAATTTGAACCAACCTGATATTTTTAAATGATCTGAAAAAGAACAGATATTTTCTGCACTGGTGTATGTGTTTGAACCAGGTTATAACAATATCTTCTTTATAGAAAATTACTATATTTTCTGAAGTACTTGTGTGCTTTCTATATCTTATTATATTCAGAGCTCATTATATTAAGGTTCGTTATAACCAGAGTCAATTATATTTTGCAATATGTTGCAAAGTTTTCTTGAAAATCTAGATAATAAAGTTTTTAGATAATTGAATAACAGTATTTTTGGTGTAGTAAAGAAATATTCAGGTGAAAGTCATAAATATTTAGAATAAAAAATATCAAGGATTAGTACATGTTTTAGATTGTAGTATTTATTTAGGAATAAAGGATAAACACTAAACATTTATGTGGAAAAATAAATAAAAATTTAACAATAGACAACTCAATTTGAACAAATAGATATAAAAAAAACTTGTATAAGCAATACCAAAGCATATGTATTTCAAATTTGAGTAGTACATACCAATACTATATAACAATTATATACGAATTCTTTATTTTTTTTTTGTAGTCAAGGTTAGCCTCTTTGGCTTCCTACTTTTATTAGATACTAGGATTATGTGGTGTCCTTTTCAAGGGAACCCCAGACAAGTACATTTTGACGAGGATATATTCTAGCCATATCTGCACCTTTTGAGCATCTAATTAAGTATCTATCTATTACTAGATTCTACACTAGATGCCGTACCTATAACTCACTATTACTTGAGTTACCCAATTAAACCCTCTGATTCAAATTTCTCTGCCAATCCATCTAATCTCACCTGGAACATGCGATACATAAGTCAGTCCAAGTTAGAGGTTAGAACCGGGTTTATTTATACAATTTGAATTTATTTACTTACAAAAAATCAGACTCGGTTTTAAACCGAATTTAAATAAATTCGGATTATTCGGTTTTGCAGTTGTAATAAACTCGCAAACCCGAATCAACCCGAATTTAATAAAACTGGATGATTCGGTGTTGCGGTTGTAATAAACTCGCAAACCCGAATCAAACCGAATTTAATAAAACCGGATAATTCAGGTTTGCAGTTGTAATAAACTCGCAAATCTGAATCAACTCGGATTTAATAAAACCAGTTTTATCAAATTAACTCAGATTGAAGACAACATTGGCAATACGCCCATCGCCAATTTCGACAAAGAATGCAGATATCCAAAGGAAGGGGAAGAGGCAAAGGTAAAAGAAGAATAAATAGCCACCGTAATGCCAAAAAAGAAATAAATGTAGATGATTTCAATCAGATCGAATATTTACTAGCTGCCGATACTACTGGTCTTCTTCAAAAAGTTTGGGCAGCTATTTTTTTATCATTAGATGAACTGTGGCCAGCTCCATCAGAATTAGTTCAAATTGCAACGGCACTTGACTTCCAATTTAAAGACTTTAAATGGAATAATACATCTGAAGAAAAAGAAAAGTCATATGAATGATTACAAACACTATATGACTCCATGAAAGAGGATTTTCAAATTAGTGTTATTAATACTCAATTAATGACACCTATTTATGATTGCTCAAACGACGATGATTTTTTTCAAGTCTTGGAAAGTAAAGTGAATAGTAATTCATTTATATCTGAGGAGGAGAATGAAGTTTCACGGTATATGAAACTTCCACAAATTGGTGTTAATCAAGATCCTTTAAAATGGTGTGATGTGAATAAAAGTGGGTTTCCCGTTCTATCTTGACTTGCACAAAAATATTTATCAATTCCTATGACTTCTGTACCTAATGAGAGATTGTTCTCAGATGCTGATAATCATATATCTGCAAAACGAATTCAATTATCTCCTAACTTGGTTAATCAAGTACTGTTTTTAAAAAGAAATAATGAACTTTTTGGTATGTTTAAACCTGAAGAATCGTAAATTTTATAAATAATATTGTTATTAGTTGTTTTGTGTTAAATAGAGAAAATCATATAATATTAAAGAAAAATAAG